TTTTATAAGAGTGAAAGTAAAGAGAGGGAGAGAAGAGTAAAATAAAATGCAGACTATTAAAAGGAGAAGCACAAATATAAGTATATCATTGCTTTAGGATCTGAGCTAAAAAGGCAAAGTGACTTTCTGAATAATTCTTTTGAATAATCCAGAACACAATGGTTTGTAAGACTGTCAAAGTAGAAGCCAAGCTCTCAAAAACTCCAAAGATCTATACTGGTAGTTTTATTCTGAAATGGGTAATTTAGGAAGATGATTCAAATTCATTCCCTGATTTCCCAGGATTACACAGAGTATATAAGAAGAGCACCTGAGCAGAGTATTGGAGCGCTGCCCTGTGCACCAGGCATCACAGAACAAGCAGTGTGGGAAATTTTGGTATTTGTGATGAGGCTCAGTTGGGTTTAGTGTTACTTTGTCCCATCTCTGATGCATACCTTTATCATTTGTGCTACAGAACGCCAAATAAAGAGACATTACAATTCCCACCTGGTGATTTTCCTTGAAAGTTTGGATTAATAACTCTTTCAGTTTCTTCTTTCTTTCTTTTGCCATCTTTTCTTCATCCAGAAGATTATGAACACTTTGAAACATGCCTCTTTCTGGATTTTTTGGAGAATTTTCTTCTTGCTTTTTCTTCTCTCTATTAATAACAATTTAAAAATACATATATGAACAATAGACTTAATGAGTAATTACAACTTACCATAGTGGAATGAACACTGCATTTTCCATAAGAAGACATCTGTCTTTGAAACTACATAGTAGGGTGATTTTTTTGAGCCCCAGTTTATTCTCTTTTTTTTAAAAAAAATAAAATACAGACTAAATGAAATAAAATTGTTATGTACTCTGAAAAGAAGAAAGCTCTATAGATATTTTAGTAAATTTTTAATTGAGTTTAACACTGAGTAACATTTTGATCAAAATTTGAAAGTTAACAACTACTAGGTATTCTCTAACATAGACATAAATTCTGTCTCTTCTTATTGTCACAAAAAAGGACCCTCAGGTAAGAAAGAAATATTTTTACAACAAGGCTTTCACGAGGTTTCTAGGGAGAAAAATAACAAATGAATCAAATGTTATTGAGTAAGGAGAGAATGGAATTTATGTTAATTCTAAAACAGCTAAAAAGAGAAAAAAACAGAACTTACTAACAGTATGGAAAAGGCCTTCAGGTAAGTAATGAGAATCTCTTAGTAACTGTTGCTCATCTTTCTGATCATCCTCTTTCTCACTCACCTGTTTATTCTTTCTCATCCACATCATCTCTCTTATATTCATAACAGCTCATGGCCATCACCTTCTTATTGGAGTATATTAAACTACATAGGTATGTGTATGTGTACAAAGTACACATACTATTAATGATGTAGTCAATAGCTAGGCAAGAATCAGAATTCATGGGTTTTGGCCACAAACCAGTTGTGAAAACTCACGCAAGTCATCTAGTCCTTCTCAATATCATTTCATATTTGTGGAAACTGAAATTGAGAAAGGATACCAGAATACAATGTAGACGTTCTTTAATTCTCATACAAGGGGGCACTCAATGTTATATCTTATTACTCATGATGTTAACCATTACTTAAGGTGGCTTCTCCAGTGCTAAGCTGCTATTTCTTCCCTCTGTAATTAATAAACCTCTTAGAGAACATACTTTGAAACTATGTAATGAAGCAGATTTAGGATAGCTTACAAATGGGTTAAAAAGCCCTACCAACAATACAATTCCACTGAATCTTTCCAAACTCCTCTATGCCATAACATTATATTAGATGGTTAGAGGCAGATCATAGTGGGCATTTAAAGAAATACAGTTCTAATATCATGGATCTGATTTTTTAAAACAACATTAAAATAAGTATCTGCTGTGAAAGCATTATCTGTTCACTGTGAAAACTGGAGGTATAAAAGCCATCCTTATTTCCACTTAGAAAAAAACAATATATCAGTGCTATTTCACTGTACAACCATTGTGTGTTAATTTCTCCATTGTTTATTAATATCTATTATCATAAATAATATCATTTTAATTATCTCTGTGCACAAATCTTTGTCTGGATTTCTGATCATTTTCGTAGGGCAGTTTTCCTAGAACTGAAATTCCTAGGTCAAATGATAATAACATTTTTATAGCTCTTGCTGTTTATTGCCAAATTGCTTTCTGAAATATTTAAATCAGTTCATCCACCTAGAAGTATAGCACATTATCTGTCTCACTGTAACCATGGATAAGATTTTAACTTTTAAAAGAAATGACTGGACAGTGTACCTTTGTCAAGTGCCCACTGGAGCAGAGCTTTCTGTTACCATCAAATGTCACTTGCTTCACAATTAATTTTAGGTCAGCCTAGATTTTTCAGGGCTTAAGAGCAATCTGAAAAGCAAGGCTGACCTTAGCAAGAACTCACTAAAACATTGGCAATTGCTTTCTGAAAGAAATGGCGTGTCTGGAGGAGGCCTGGCACTTGAAAGTGTGAAGCACAAGTCCACTGCCGAGCTGTTTTAAAATAGGTAGAATAAGAGCAATCAAGAGCACAGGGGGAAGAGCTGTGTGGGCTGATGGGGGTGGAAGGAATTATCTAATAGGTCTCTCTGGCCTCTGAGTTTGAGTGTACAGTCACTTCAGGCATGTTGTTCCAAGATGTTTGCAGCTCATGAATCAGTGTTGTTTCTCCAAATAAATACATTAGTTATTTATTTATGAAGCTCATTTTCTGCATGAGGATACATAATAGTACTATATCCTGTGGGAACTACTTTGTTTTTCTTCTTATGTCAGATACTTTTTCTTTATCAGTGGCAGCAGGGCAATCAGTGGTGACTCTCCCTATGATTATCAGAGGTAAGACACCCATGCGATTCACAATTGGACAAGGCACACTTAGCAAACAAGCATAAGGAAATATCTTAAACCTTAAAAATGTTCAGATAACCAAAGAGATGTGAACTAATATAATACCTATTAAAAGGCAAAATATATTGAAAATGATGATACATTTCAATGCTGAGAAGAGTCTGGTATACTGGCCCACTGCCAGCAAGAGCATAAATAAGAACAACCCATTTGGAAAGCAATTCGGCAACGTTTTCAGAGTCATAAAAAGGTCTATACCCTTTAACTCAGTAATTACACTCCTAAAAATACAATTCAAAAGAATGAAAAAAGTCTGTGTTTAAGGATGTTCACTGTACTACTCGTGAAAAATCTGAAATAGTTGAAAGACTTAGCACTATAAGGAGGGGAGGTCATTAGATAAATTGTGGTATAGGAATTCAACAGAGTAATATACAGACCTCTGGACTCCAGGCAACTACAACAAACAGAGTAACAAATTAAATGTACTTTATAGTTGCAATTAAGTATGTAAAGGGACCAAGACCAGGAGGAAACATGGAAAAGTGAAAATAGTTAATTTGCCGAGATAGTGAAATTAGTGGCTGATGTCTGTTGTGGTTTGTCATTTTAATGTTAGTGCATTTTACAAAACTAGAGTGCTTCCAAAATGACTACTAAAAAAACTCCACACTGCTCCTCACAGTTGGCTTACATTTTCCATGCTTCTTCCACGGTGCGCCTCCTCTCAATTATCTCCCTTCGCAGCTTTACCATCTCCCTCTGAATCTCCTCTTCCTCTTTCTTGGCCTCCATAGCCTTCCTTTTCTTCTCTTCTTGCACTAGATACCGAGCCTCTAAGAAGGCCGATTTTTTCAGGGTCTTTTCAATTCTCTGGCGCTCCAGCTCTTTCTCTCGTCTTAAGCGATTTTCTTTTACCTTAAAGAGAATACAAGTGTGAAATGCAGACTTTCATGTAGAAAGGGATTTGCAAAACCACAGAACACATTTTGAAGTTCAGAATATACCCAGTTTGAAACATTCTGACCAGAACTCCACCATTTATCAAAAGAATAGAGGGAATTCATTTATTTAATGGGTAAGGGCCCATACAAAATTTTTAAAAAAGTTAAGTAAGCTGATTCCCAAATGATCTGGGAATAATCTGCACCATGGAAAAGGTGAAAATGTAACAGGTCAGCTGCCTAGTTCTAGATTCTTACTTAGTTATGATTTTCCACCCATAAGATTTTCCAAACTATACCTTACTGCTATTTATTTAGGCCTTGTCTGCATGCTAATTAGAATTTTAAAAAGAATAAGAATATTGTTGGAAGGCTATATTGTTAAGGACAGAACCGTGATTTACCAGATCGTCTCTGACTTACGATGGTTGGACTTAAATTCTCAACTTTATCATGGTGCAAAAGCAATATGCGTTCAGTAGAAATCATACTTTGAATTCTGAATTTTGATTTTTTCCTGGGTTAGCAATATGTGGTATGACACTCTCTTGTGATACTGGGCAGTGGCAAGGAGATGATTTTGCCCAGCTGTAGGCTAATGTAAGTGTCCTGAGCATGGTTAAGGTAGGCTAGGCTAAGCTATGATGTACAATAGGTTAGATATGTTAAATGCATTTTTGACTCACAATATTTTCACTTACAATGGGTATACTGGGACGTAACCCAATCCTAAGTCAAGAAGCATGTGTATTGCCTTAAGAAACATCACAACCCTTTATTCATTTCTATCATTATTTAAATATATTAATAATTCTGGATCATATTTGGAAATCAAAATCATGAACTTCACAGATATTTCTGAATAAGCACTTTTTTTTTTTCAAATCTATCGATTTTTTTTGAATTAAGGAGTGGTCCTTGCCTTCTTGCTTCACTTAATTTTACCTTTATCTTACCCTCCAGTTATAAGACTTCTAGATAATAGCTAACTCTTATTGAACCTTCTCTTTTCCTTTTTATCACAAATCCAAATCAAGATATACTTCCACCTTAGTTTTTCTACTATCCTAAGTGCTGATTAGGCACACCTTACTGTTAAAAGCAATCAGAAATTCAGTGTTATAAAAAACAGAACACATGTATAGACATTAATTCTAGTTCAGTCTTAGACGTGGCAAAGACTTAGTCATTCTGATTTCCTGAAGCTCCTCTACAAAGTGTTGAGATGCACCTTTTCCCTATAACCTACTATTCTCTTTGAAGAAAAGAAAGTTTTCATATGTCTTTCTAATTCAAAACAGCTGAACTAGATTTAATTCAGATCTGTCCTCCCTTTCAACTTATAATCACAAAATGAGTGAATTTTTCAGTTGTCTAGTAAAGAGTTATCATTATAACATTTACCAGAATATTCATGATATTAATATATCTATATCACAATTCAAAAGTCAAATTCAAGCAAAACCCAATCTACATATTAATAATAAGAAGTACCACATCCAAACTAATAAAGTTTAGCTCATCTCTCTATTGGTCAAATTCAATTATTCCAGTTTTTTTGGCTTTCTTAAATTGTTTCCTATCCTTAGTTTATGAGCATTATTTTTCTCTGAAGTTCTTATATTTTATTTTTATTCTTTCTAACCAAACCACAGATGGCACCCTTTTTCATAATAAAGTCTCACTCTTTATTTAAGCTTATTAAATGCGTTACACAAAGACTGCTTCCTGTTATCCATTTTAATTTTGTTTTTCCCTCCCACCTGCTTATGTCTCATCTCCATGGTAAGACGAGGATCCTTCTGCTGCTTCTCGTCTTGGTTTCCATTCATTCCAAGATCTTCCAACATCCCAGAATCCACCACATCTTTATGGAGCAGATGGTCTATAAATTTTTGAACGGTGGTACTTTCTTCTTCTTCCTCCAAATAACCACATAAATCTGGGGGATATAGAACAAAAAAGGGAAATTTTTAAAAAATTTTAATTTTTAATATAATTTCCATATTTATATAAATGATCCTGGTGCAATAAAAATAGTTGTGAGTATTCAATAAATAGGAACTAATGATGCCAATTGGATGAGTATAGCCCTCAGCAATACCTTCAACTAAGAGGGGAGAATACCTCTACTCATGAAGAACTGCCCTCACTCCAGTCACTGAAGACTCCCTTGCTGCTAAATTTAAAAGATCACTTCAATCTAAACATCTTTGAAACTTTATTGCTTTTTCTAAAAAAAAAAAAAAAGGCTTAACTGCAGTATAATTAACAAATAAACTGTAAATACCTAAAAGTTTATAGTAAGTTTTGACATATACATATACTAGTAAAACCATCACTATAAGCAAGATAATGAACATGTCTGTCAGCCCCAAAAGGGTCCTTATGCTGATCTGTAATCTCTCTCTTTCACTCTTCCCATGCTCTCTGCCCTATCCCAAACAACCACAGACCTGTTCTCTATCACTATAGTTTAGGTTGCATTTTCTAGAATTTTGTACCAATTAAATTATATATTATGTACATTCTTGGGGGGGCGTCAAGCTTCTTTTACTTAGCATAATTATTTTGAGATTCATCCATGTTAGTGTATCAATAGTTTACCCCTCTTTATTGTTGAGTAGTATTACATGTATGGCTGTAGCACAATTTATTCATTAATTCATCTGTGGATAAACACTTGGGTTGTTTCCAGATTTTCGCTATTACAAATAAAGTTGTTAAGAACATTCATGTACAAGTCTTTGTATGAATGCTTTCTTTTCTCTTGGGGAAAATGCCTAGGAATGGAATGGTTAGATCCTATGATAAGTATATATTTAACTTTTTAAGAAACTGCCAAATCGTTTTCTAAAGTGGCTATATGATTTTACATTCTCACCAGCAGTGCAGGAGTGTTCAGCTCCTCCACATCCTCAGCAATACTTGGTATGGTCAGTCTTTTAATTTAAACCATTTTAAAAGATCTGTAAGTCATTTCTTAATGACTAATGATATTGACCACCTACCTTGTTGTTTTGTTTAGTCTATCGTGTAGTTCTACACATTATTGAAAATGGGGTACTGAAGTCTCCAACTGTTATTGTCGAATTATCTATTTCTCCTTTGATTTTTGTCAGTTTTCATTTACATAATTTGGGACTCTTCTGTTAGGTGTACATATTTTTATACTTATGTTTTCTTGATAGATTAACCCTTGTATCTTTATATAGTGCCCTTCTTTGTCTCTAGTACCAATTTTTTATCTTATAGTCTATTTTTTTTTGATATTAGTAAACTGTTCTTGCTCTCTTTTGGTTCCCGTTTGCAAGATATATCTTTTTCTATCCTTTTACTTTCAACCTATTTATATCTTTGAATTTAAGTTGTGTTTCTTGTAGACACCATATAGTTAGGTCACATTTTTAAATTCATTCTGCCAATCTCTGTCTTTTGATTGGAGTATTTAATCTATTTACATTTAACGTAACTCCTGTGATAAGGTAAGATTTACATTTGTAATTTTGGTATTTGTTTTCTATATGTCTTCGGTAAATGCCCCATGTCAGGTTGAGGAATTTATCTTCTACTACTAGTTTGCTCAGAATTTTTAATCAGGAAAGGACGTTAGATTCTGTCAAGTACTTTTTCTATGTCTATTGCGATAATCACGTTAATTAATATTTTTGGTAAGCAACCTTTTTAATGGCTACATAATAATTCTGTTTAATGTTTTGATAAAAAAAATTCTATAAGTAGATGATGACTGAAGGCTGGTATAATACTGGGTGGTAAAAGACAGCTTAAGTAAAAAGAAAGTAATAGTTTCACTATATTTCATTTTCGCTTCAGAATAAATATGAAGTACCAAAATACCTCACTTTAATAATGACATAATAAACTAAAAAATATCCAGAAGGTAGCAACCAGGATAAGATCTAGAAATAATGTGATAATAAAGAACTGTTGAGAGTACTGGTATTATTTAATCTAGGAACACTGAAATAAATATATGAAGGATCAGACTATAACTCCCCCCCAAAATAAAGACGGTCTTTGGGAGAGTGAACATGATATTATTTTCTGCGGCACCAAAAGGTAAAAGTTACTGAGGACAAAATCCTAATTTTCCTAAGAGAGACTGCCATGTAGAGCCTCACAACAGTTGAACGGGCTCCCCCAAAGTGGAGTCTCTCTATCCTGGGAGGTGTTAAGGCAGAGATTATATCACTCCATGTCAGGAATATTGTAGAAGGATCTCTATCTGAGGGGATGAACAAGGTATATCAGACCAGGTGATCTTGAAGGATTCCTCTAACTTTAAGAGCTCGTGATTTTGTGATTCCTGAGCGAGGGATTTTATAGGGTTTTAACAAGGGGAATGCTGCCAGGTGAGTTCACCAAGGGTGCCTGAATAACACCTGAGGAGCTGCCACCACTATCACCGTGCCTACCCTTAACGCTCAGGAAAAAGGTATCTCAGACTTTTTGGCTACATCCAAGGAACCATCACAAATGAGCTATTTAACTTGTCTGACATTAGCTCTGTGTATAAGTAATAATTTTCCTTATAAAGATATATGAAGCATTTTGTAAATATAAAATGATATACGAGTATTTAAGTGTAGTCTCCAAAGTGAATAGTTAGCTAACAATACATAGGAAGAAGCACTCTTAAACAGCATTATTTACTATTATAATAAGATTTATAATTAATAAGATATTTTAATTTAAAAACATTATGAATTTACTGAGTATACAGATAAGTAATTTAAATTGAATAACGAAAAATTAAAGCCAATTATAAAACTAAGCAAAACACAAAAACGTCAAAAATATCATTTACTATTCAAAACAGTTGAAAAGACTTCTTAGACACATTCATTGGATATTAACGCTTAGAACAATCAGATCAGTTCTTACCATCAAACTTGTCATATTTCAAATGACTTTTGGCTTCTGACACAGGAGGGATACTTGATACAGTGTTTTCAGCTTCCCCATCACTTGCTAGTTCTTGCTTAAGTTTGGTGTCCAACCAGTCATTAACCAGCTCCTGAGCTAGTAATAAAACAAAAACATCTTTTTAATATTTCAATTACTTCAGAGACCTTTCTTCTTTAACTGTTTTCATTCATTCGATAAATATTAATTGAGAACCCATCATGTGTCATGTACTGTTCTAGATGATCGAAATATAACAGTGAATGAAACAGGATAAAGAAAACCTACCACCACGAAGCATACATTTTAGTTGGGGAAGAGAGATAATAAAGAAATTAGTCAGAAAAACAGAGCAGGAGAAAGACTAATGGTATAAGAAATAGAACATAGGCGTTGATAGTTTTAAACTGGGTGGTCAAAGGAGGCCTCACAGAGAAGAACTTTGAGCAAAGAAGGGAAGGAAGTGAAGGAGACAGCCATATGGCTATGTAAGTGAATATTATTCTATGCAGAGGAAAAGCAAGCACAAAAGCCCTAAGGTAGGAGAGTGTCTGGTGTGTTGGAGAAATAGTGAAGAGGCTGTGGGGCTAAAGAGGAATAAAGGGGACTGGGAGGAACACTAGGAGATAAGGTGGAAGAGATAATATGGGGAGCAGTGGTTCTAGATTAGGGCAATCTCATGCTCCAGCAGACGTTTGGTAATGTCTGAAGCCATTTTTGGTTGTCACAACTTAGAGAGGTGATACTGGCATCTAGAGCGTAGATGCCAAGGATGCTGTTAAACATCCTATAATACACAAGGCAGCATCCACAACAAAAATTATCTGGCCCAAAAAATATCAGTAGTGCTGAGATTGAAAACCCTTTCTTTAGAATCCTGACACGATTCTAGTACTTTAGTTTTTACTCTGAATGCAGTGGAAGGCCACAGGAGGTTGTGAACAAAGAGGTGACTTATATTTTAAGAGGATCATTCTGACTACTATGTTCAAATAGACTACAGAGGGACAACCACAGAAGTAGAGCACAGCAACTGAGAGACAAATGCAATAATCTAGGAGAAACGTGATGATGGCCTCGACCTGGAGTGGAGGAATTAAAAATGGTCATATTCTAGAAAATAATGTTTTGAGGTAAAGTGGACATGATTTGCTGATGGACTGGATGTCAGAGACAGACTCTATAGGCTTTTGGCTTAAGCAGCAGCTGCAAGGATGAATATACCACTTTCTGAGCCAGGAAAAGCCAAGCGAACAGTAGGTCTGGAGGGAAGATAAGTTCACTTTTAGACTTGTTAGGTGTGAGATTCTTATAAGACATCCAAATAGGGATGTCAAATAGATATTGGCTGTATTTCAGGGGAGAGGTCCAAGCTGAAGAAATACGTCAAATAGATATTGGCTATACCACTGTATTTCAGGGGAGAGGTCCAAGCTGAAGAAATAAATGTGAGTGTTGTTAGCACACAGGTGGTACTTAAAGCCGCAGAAGTGGATGAGATTGCCAAAAGTGGACAGAGACAGGTTGAAGGATGAAGCCCTGAGGAACACCAGTTATTTAGAGGCTGAAGAGATAAGGTAGAACCTACAGGCAGACGAGGAGGGAGAGTCACTGAGGTAGGAGAAAAAAACTAAGAGTATGATATTCTGGAAGCCAACTTCCATTTGGATTTTTCTTAGTGATATCCAGAAAATCTTCTTAAATATATAGGTGAGAAAATGTCTACTTTAGCATTATCTTTGTCATTATTATCATTATCAAACAGCTCTTATGAGTAGGCATGCGGGTTTCAAAGGAGATAAATATCTATTTCAGCATTATCTTCATCATTGTTATTATTGTTATCATATAGCTCTGAAGGAATGGAGTGTTTTTATATATTAAATGATACTAAAAGGCATTAGATAGGAATGCATGATATGTAAAATAAGAAAAAGCGAACCAAGGCAGTAGAAAGGAAGTGTAAAAAGTATACTAGAACAAACATTATCAGCTTTCAGAGAAAGATAGAAAAAGGGAGCACATACTTATTGAGTAACCCTATGCATGATAATTCAGATATTTATGTGTATAATAACTTACATATAGAATAATTCATATCTACTAAACATTCATTGGTAAATAGGGGTTTATAGTGGTCCCCCCTTATCCACAGGGGAAATATTCCAAGACCCCCAGTGGCTGCCTGAAACTACAGATAGTATCAACTGTATACGTACTGTTTTTTCTATGCATACATACCGACGAAAAAGTTTAATTTATAAATTAGGTTATAACTAATAATAAAATAGAACAATTATGACAACATACTGTAATAAAAGTTATGTGAATGCAGTCTCTCTCTCAAAATACCTTACTGTTCTACCCTCACCTTTTCACTTAAAGGGAGCACCTTAGCGCTTCTCTGTGGCATATCCAAATTGCCAGCGTCACTACTCTTGCCCCTTCAGGCCATTATTAAGTAAAATAAAGGTTACTTGTACACAAGCGCAGTGATACTACAACAGTCTATTTCATAATCAAGAGAGCTACTAAGTGACTAATGGCGTGGGTAGCAAATATAGCGTGGATACGCTGGGCAAAGGGATAATTCAAGTCTTGGGTGGGACAAAGTAGACAGGATTTTCATCATGCTACTCAGAATGGTATGCAACTTAAAATTTATGAACTATTTCTGGAATTTTCCATTTAATATTTTCAGACTGTGGCTGACCACAGGTAACTGGAACCATGGTAAGTGAAACCAAGGGTAAAGGAGAATACTGTAATCTGAAGTGTTCCAAAAGAAAAAAGAATGAGAACTTCCCTTGGAGTGTTCAACTACAAGAACTCATGTTGGATCAGAGGAGGGGAATACAAGGCTACCTGAAAGCAGAATTTCTCAAAAGATGCTGCCCAGAACATTAATTCTTGTAAAATATTAATAGATGATTGATGAGAGAAAAGAAACCTTTGAAAACCATGTTCTATCCACACACCAGTACTTCCTAATATGGATTGCTAGTTTCTCAGGATATAAATAGGTATTTCAGGATAAAAAGAATTTTGTAGAAGTTTGGGAAATGGAGTAACTAAAATTTTTTTAAACTGCAGGAGTTCTCAGAAACCTTAATAGGCTAAAATATACTGTGTATTCCTACTGGTGAAACGGGAAATAGGATGGGCAAGACATAACTCGCCAATTTCCGAATCAATCTCCTTTCTCCTCCTCCAGTACTACCAACCACCCAAGAACAAGCACCATTGCTGCTCACCCAGACCATTGCACTAGCCTCCCACTTGTCTCCCTTTTCCCTCTTTTTCTCCCCTCTAATCCTTTTTTCATACATTTAAAAACTTGTCCTATTACACCTCTGCTTAAAACCCTTCAGTGATGTCTCATAATACTCAAAATAAAATCTAAATTCTTTTAGATTTAAAAAAATCTAAATTCTGCTCACTCACTCCTGAAAGCTCATCTCCATTGAGAAAATCCAACCACACCAGGTCTCCCTTCAGTTCTCCAAGCACACTAAGTTTGTCTGTGCTTTAGCTCTTGACGCCACCTTCCTCACAACCTGGGATGCTCTTCTTCCATCACTACTCACCTGGGCCCTTCTTGTTATTCAGGTCTAAACTTGAAAGACCTGTCACTATCTGGTGATTTGTTTTTAATTTTCTTTGTCCCCACACTGGAATGTATATGTGACAAAAGCAAGGAATTTGTTTGCCTGCCTTGTTCATAAACTGTTCCTCCAGTGCCTGAAATGGTTCCTGGCACTGAATAATACTTAGATACATATGTGTTGAATGAAAGAAGAAATAAACTGAATAACTGGAGACATAAATAATCCAGATGGAAGTTGGCATCTAGGACATGGCACCCTAACTGTCCTCCTACTTCAGTGGCCTCCCCTTCCCAGTCTTCACAGCTTCTTTCCACTCTCTTCATCCATAAACAGTGGAGTTCCTCAGGGCATCAGTAACTAGAATACTAAATTCCAGAGCAGTAAAAGCTTTGGGGAGGCAGGGAGTTTAGATCAGTTTTAGAGTCTCTTTATAAAGAACAAAGTTGATGTATAAACTAGTTGTCAAATTCTGTATGATACTAGAGCAAATTAACAGGCTCTGTGCTACAGGACTTAATACCTTACAACACTCATCAGTCACTGTTTATATCAAATGGCCTCTGGATGTGGATCTGTTTCAGAAGAAAAAATGGACCTTAAATATAGCCTTACTTGTAAAACTGGAGTTAATTTCAGAGTAAATTAGCTTTGGGGCAGTAAAAATAAACAATAATTAAGATCAAGATTAAGAAAAATCTTCATTCCGTACTTTGAATGCATTATGGGCTATGCTTTAATAAGCTGTGCTCCAAAGTACTGTTAACATCGCAGCAAAAAAAAAAAAAAGAAAAGTATTTTCTCACCTTCTGCATAGACTTCATTGTGATCCTCTATTTGCTCAGATGTTTCCAAATCTATGATCTGGTCCCAAAGCCTTCTGGAGAAATCAGTGTTTCCAGCAGAAAACGCTTTCGAAACTGCAAATTCTGGGGCTTCCTCTACCCTCTTTAATAGGAAAAAAATTCCGTTAAGATGGCAACAACTTTGTTCAGTGTTAGAAAATTTCTCTTGAACTGAAGAATCTGATTTTCTACCAACTACTAAGATACCTTCATCTTTCCATTTTCAAAGGAACTCTGAGGCTTGAACATCGATTCACATAATTTCATTCCTTAAACATGAAATTAATTGCAGTGTTTTACAAAGTTTTAATACGTATTCACAATGTTTATATTAAAACAAAAGGCTCTTTAAGGTTTAGGTAAATTTTGTTTAGAGCATTAGTTACGGAATTTTGACACCTGAGTATTTTATTTTAAATAAAAAATACAATATTTTATTAGTTTACATGCTACTAGGACTTGCATATGAATGTGAACCAGAGGCAGAGTAGAGATATTTCCTCAAATTACAACCCTGAAAGGAAACTTCCATCATATAGGCAAACCACAGGTTCAATAAAATTGAGATAAACAGTCACTGAACTGTAGTCTTCAGAGTATTTTAACTCCACAGTAAGAATCTAGTAAAAACATGGCCAAATTCATGGGACTGGGGAAGGAACTGGAGGAAGGAACTGGAGGAGGTGGACAAATTTTCTTGGCATTTTGGCTTACCTGCACAACACAAAAGAACTTATTTTACAATTAAACTGCTGACTTCTCCCTCCCCATAAACCTGCTTTCCGCCAGGCCTGCTGTGTTCTCAGTCTTCCAACTAGGGGAGTGACAACTCCATTCTTTCAGTTCCTCAGGACAAAAACCTTGGAGTTCTTCTTGAATCTGTTCTCTCTTATCCCACATACAATATATCGGAAAAATCTGTTGACTCTATTTTCAAAATGTAGCCGGGATCTGACCCCTTCTTGTCACCTCTACTGCTGTTACCCTGGTCCGAGGCATCACAATGTCCTGACAGAGTTTTTATACTAACCTCCCACCACAGCAGCCAGAGAGACCCCTTTAAAACGAAACATATAATATCAAATAACTCCACTCAAAACCCTTCAATAGCTCCCTACTTCATTCAACTCAGAATAAAAGTCCAGGTCTTTATAATGTGCTTTAAGGCCCTGCATCATCGAGCCCTTTGTGAGTTCTCCAACCTCCTCCTCTGTTGCTCTTCTCTTGCTCCCTCGACTTCAGTCACACTGACCTCCTTGTTCATTCCTCCTCTAATATGCCAAGCATGTTCCCACCTCAGGGTGTGTGCACTTACTCCCTGCTGCTGACTGCTCTCCCCCAGATATCTGTATTACTCTTTCC